GCCCTGCCCCCGCCCCGCCCCCGCCCGCGCACCGGCAGCTGCACCAAAATGCCGTGCACGTTGGGGTCGGCGTTGAACTTGGCCACCGCGCTCAGCACCTGCTGCTGCGTCGAATCCTCCGGCATATCGCATTCAAAGGAGCGGATGCCGACCTCGGCGCATGCACGCCGCTTCATGCGAACGTATGTCTGTGAGTCCTTGCGCTCGCCCACAATAACGACAGCCAGTCCCGGCACCTGTGAATAAGAAGATGTATCTAAGCAATTGAGCCCGCGGCCAGGGGCGTCTGGGGCCCAAGATTGCCCGCCGCTCACCTGACCGTGGCGCTCCTGCATGGAGGTGACAGTGACTGCAATCTCATCCCTCAGCTGTGCTGCTACGGCTTTGCCATCGATAACATTGCCCTTGAGGAAGGGGTTCGTCCCCCGCTGCGCAGGAACCGCTACGTCAGCCATTGCAGACTTTTTATTTATTTATGCGTGTAAGGTGTTGAAATTTTTCTTTAACCTCGGACAGTGAGCACAACGGAGCGAGCTGCCCGCGCAATGGGACTGTCATTTGTCAGATCACTGCCTGTCACCGCCGTCGTTCGTTATCATACCGTATCCTGGTAACCAAAGCATCGAATCAATACTTTTACTCTATCAGCCATCCTGGCGAGGTGGACGGTCGCCAACGCACTCCTTGGACGGACAGCTGCCCTCGGGCCAAGGGCTGCAGCTTCGTAAGGGTGCGCGTGGTGGGTGCAGCTTCAGGGGGGGGAGTTGCAGGCATCAGGGCGACATGCGCCCGCGGAGGGCGGGTGGCGCAGCGCACGCGTATGACGCACACGGCGATGGCGCGGCGCGACACACTGCTGTTTGTGGCCTTCAGTGGGCAGGCTGCCCTGCACTGCCAGGAGCAGCCGCCAGAGCACCCATGCTGACACCCCAGGCCCACAGGGCAGCTGTCATGCGGCCCAGCGGTCGAGCCGTCGAGCTCTACATCCCTGACCCTGCATCATGCCATGGTCCCCTCCCCCCCTCCAACCCGGGCGCCCCGCCCGTCCTTGCGCGGGTAGATGGCAGACTTTGCCCAGGTGGGCCAGTTACTGGGGGATGCCATCGAACACAGGGTCGCCCAGGCGGTGCAGCAACACGTCCAGCCGGCGGTGCAGCAGGCTGTAACGGCGCAGCTGGGTACGACCGTGCAGGCAGCGCTGCAGCCGATCCACCAAACCCTGACTCAGCTGCAACATGACGTGGCGGGGGTGCAGCAGAGTTTGTTGGGGCTGCGGCAGGATGTGCAGACCCTGGGCGCACGCCAGCACAACGGCGTGTGCTGCAGCGGCGTCCTCCGGGGCGCCATCTCCATCCAGTGGCCGCACCACGGCGGCGGCGCCATGCCTGCGCACATCGCGGGCCAGCCGCTGCCCGCCACGCGGGACGAGGTACTGCAGGCGACGGCACCTGTGGTGGACGGCATGCTGTCCCTGTACGGCCTGCCGGCCGGCTCGACCGCTGGAAACGTGCTGCAGCGACAGAACGACCTGCTTGCGCATGCGGGCATCTATGTGTGATCTCGGCGCGGCCCCGCGGGCCCATAGGGTGCCCGCTGGTTGCGCTGCACACGCGCATGCGCACCGGCGTCCCTTGGCTGATCCGCTCGGCTCTTACCTTCCTTGCGGGGCATTGCGTCAAGACCCCCTGATGCGCAGCACAGCGGCAGCTGCCGCGCCTGTGGAAGCCGCGCGCCAAGAAAGCTGCTGGCTGCTGCCGTCCACAGCTGTAGCGACGGGCGCTGCAGCCTGCGGGCGGCGGCTGGTCGGCCCCCGCCAANCGCTGCGCGGCCGCCATCCAATGGCCAGGGTGGTGGGGCGGGCGGCCCTGATCCTCAACAAATCTGATCTGCACTCGATTTTCATCGCCCAACCCCAGCTTGGTCGCGGCGGCAGCGACGGCGCGGGTGGCGTACTGCCGTATTGCTGGCCCCCCCCCCTTTCACGTGGCGTGCAGCAATGGCCCTTGTATCNGTGTGCATGCTTTGTGGACTCCTTTGCGTGCTGCAGCTTTGCAATATTAGGATCAGGTTTGGAGTTGTCACAGGGTCGCGCGGTCGCCCGCTCCTGGACCCACTGGAGGCCCTCTCCCCCCCCCCCCCCGCTTATTGCGACGGCTCGCCCTATGCCCTTGAGCGCTTTCCCCAGATGGGTGGTATCTTCGACGGTGCGGGGCGCCCGCCTCTACCTCACACGCGCTCTTGCTA